CCTCCACACTATTTTTGGCAATCTTCAAAAATAAATAAATAAAACCCAGAGCCTCTCTTGAAATTCAATAATTAATTTCTTTGTTACAAAAATTAATGTTTCATTTGTGTTTTTTGGTGCCCTGTCAAAACGGCCCGGTACAAATCGGCCCGGGACAAATCGGCCCCGTTAATACGACCCCGTCAAATCGACTCCCGACAAACCGACCCCGTCAAAATAGCCCCGTCAAAAGGGCCCCGACTTATTGGCTCCCGTCAAATGGGCTCCCGTCATATTGACTTGCGACATATAGGCTCCCGACAAATGGGCTCCCGATATTTAGGCTCCCGACAAATGGACTCCCGACATATTAACCCCTGACAAATAGGCTCAGGACATATTGGCTCCCGACAAAGCGGCTCCCGATATATTGGCTCCCGACATAAGGGCTCAAGACAAATGGGCTCCCGGCAAATGGGCTCACGACATTTTGGCTACCGACAAATGGGCTCCCGACATATTGGCTCCCGGCAATTGGGCTCCCGACATATTGGCTTTTGACAAAATGACTCCCGACATATTGGCTCCAGAAAAATAAATGATATGACCACTATTGGCATAAAAGTAACCATTGTGTCCTACCTCCAATACCACCATAACCTCTTTTTAATGCCCGAATGAAATTATTTTTTCATGAAACAACATTAATTCACAAATAAATCGAGCCCTTAACAGCTAAATTCCACCAATTCTAAAGTTTTGATAATGTTTAATTTACAACAGAAAAGATCTGTTGCTTAAAAGCGAGCACAGAAGTGTAAATGTATGATATACATGATGTTAACATGATAACAGCATTTTGTTTTGATAACCTACAAGCACAGTGGCGTAGCGAGGTCGGGTGTCACCCGGTGCGGCACTTAATGGTATCACCCCCCCCCCCCCCCCCCCCGCACCGGGGCGTTGCGACCCTTCCCAGGGACAAACTTTCAAGTTTTCGATTTGCAACCCCCCCCCCCCAAACTTTCGATTTGCACCCCCCCCCCCTCAACTTTTTCTCTGATGAAGGGGTCCCACTGGCAGATGTCATATTCAATGAGACCGCTTTGCCGGGACAACTTAGTCTCTACAGAAACGGTATTGTCAGTGCAGTGGCGTAGCTAGGAGTTTTGGGCCCCTATGCAAAAATTATCAGTGGGCCCCTTCGTCAGCCGTTAGGCTAGTGGCGTCGCTAGGTCAGGTCTCACCCGGTGCGGCACTTCGTATTGTCACCCCCTCCCAGGAAACAAAGCATATATATATATATATATATATATATATATATATATATATATATATATATATATATATATATATATATATATATATATATATATATATATGTATATATATATGTGTGTGTGTGTGTCGGCCTACATATGTATATATATATATGTGTGTGTGTGTGTGTGTGTGTGTCGGCCTACATAGGCCTAAAATTTATATATATGCCACATACTGGTACACGTACGTGTTTAAGCTTTAATCACTGCTGACTTAATAGTAACGATGTTTATCTACAGTCTGTTTATAATACAGTTGGATGTAGCATTGTTTTCTTTATAGTTTACGTTTACGTCGTGGTGTCACCCCCCCCCCCCCCCCCTGTTGATATAATTTTCGATTTGTACTTAGATGACTATTTAACTTTAACTAATGGATCTGGAAAATGGCATTTCATTCTATAAATTTTACAATTTTTTTGCCTTTGGTGTCACCCCACCCCTAAATGGTTTCACCCGTTGCGGTCCGCACCCCCCGCCTCGCCTTCGCTACGCCTCTGCGTTAGGCTACAGAGGAGTTAAACGAAGAGATCAACTTCTACTTACGATGGATATTTTTTAATATATAAATATTCTGAAGGCAACATTTTGTATTTTATATGTCCTGATTTTGTATTTATACTATATTATTATGCTTGCCTACTACTGCTAAAAAGTTTATTTATAGGCTGATTCTCTCAATGTCTTGCACGACAAAGTGATATAGCCTGTAGTGTTATTATAACGATTGGGCTCTGTTTGACCCACAAACACTGAATCCCACTGCCGAAACGGTGGGTGGGGGGGGGGGGGGGCTTTTTGGAACTTTTAACCTTTTTCTTTTTTAAAATTATTTATATGTAACAAATATTAAAATTCCATTGTAAAAGTTTTAATTTTTTATGAGGGAAAAGGGCCCCTATGTGCCTTGGGCCCCCATGCCTTGCTTACGCTAGCTTTACGGTAGCTACGCCACTGTGTCAGTGGTCCTTTTGTCTGGAGCCAAATTGACAGGAGCCTTTTTGTCGGGAGACAAAATGACGCTAGCCTATTTGTCGGGAGTCGTAATGACGGGGGCCGTTTTGTGGAGAAACTAAATGGCGGGAGCCTATTTGTCGGGAGTCGTAATGACGGGGGCCGTTTTGTGGACAAAACTAAATGACGGGAGACTATATGTCGGGAGCCAAAATGACGGGAGCCTATTTGTCAGGAGCCTTATTGACTGGAGCCCTTTTGTCGGGAGCCTATATAACGGGAGCCTATTTGTCGGTAGCCTAAATGACGGGAGCCTATTTGTCGGGAGCCTATATGACGGGGTCCATATGTCGCTGGCCCTTTTGACGGGGCCGATTTGACGGGGTCGTTTTGATGGGGTCGTTTTGTCGGGGTCGTTTTGACGGGGCCGTTTCGTCATTGGCCGAATTGACGCCGCACGGTGTTTTTTATATTAATGAAATAAAGTATGTAAGCTTACTCCAATCACCCCCCCCCCCCCCTGCGTAACATGGCAATGTCACAAGTTAACCTCGTTATCTGACGTCATTTATTGACGACCTTGTACAAATCATTCAACAACTTTATATTTCCAAGTTTCTAAGATATACACTTCAAACACAGATAAAGGAACTATATCAATTGCTACAGATCGTATAGAACTTTAACACGTAGCCTGAAAACTTGGTGCAGTTCCAGATAATCTGTATAGCATTAAAGTGTCTTGTCAGAATTAATATTTCTATTTCACCTTAACGGGTTGACTAGAAATCGATATTTGCATGAATAAAAACTGCTAAACTTGTCAACTTGTATTTTTGAGTAAAACGTTTGCGTCAGAATGATTTATGCTTATAGTCATAATAACAAAAAAGTAAGGCTAAATATATAAAGAACCATAAGCGTTTTAATACATTTGTGTAAGGAGCTAGCTACTTAAAACACTACTTCAACGATAATTGCTTGACTTCCTTTTAAATAACACCTGCGCTTACAAAACAAAAGAAGCCTACTGAAAAACACGGACATAAACTAGATGTTTTTAGATGTTGCCACCCAAATGAGGCACATTTTAAAGTAGGCTTAAGTGGCCAAGGGAAGAAAACCATACAAATATAAAACAACAGGAAATTCTACTGACAATACAAACTAGATTTAAACTTCCAACATAAGAAAAACATTTGTAAAATTATATTTAAATAATTTACAGAAGTTCCTATCAGATTAAGTCACACAGAGGTGTTAATTTAGCACGCTCAAGTTTTATGTAAATCAATTTATATCCTTCCATTTTAAAATGGTGATTTTATTCTGAATTTTTATACATTTAATATGGCTGCTTAATCAAATAGGATAGCTTGTCAGCTGGCTTGCATTGTAATGAGCTCACAATACCATCATACATAAACATGTTAGAATTATGTTACATCTTTGGTTATTTTTTCTTTTTAAACTTTTTGAAAGTGCTCATCTTGAAGTGAACAACAAGTTAGTCTAATTTAGAATGTACCAAAATATACACGAATAGAGCTTTCGCAGTCAAGTACCCAATTAAGAGGGGATAAAATGTACTTTAATGCTGGGAAAGGCAGCTTGCTGAACATGAAACACTTTTTTTATAAATGGCCATTCAACAAATTTACTTCAGAAACAGAAAAGCTTATAATTTATCCAACCATTAGAGCTGAGCCAAGCAGAACAATGTGTGACAAACACTAGCACACAGGTTGCCCTCCAGACATAACATCCCTGATTATGATGTATTTGAAAACTCAAAATGACAATTTGAAGACATTTTGTTAAAGGTGCAGGGACTGACCCATTAACCCAATTGCCAGCCTGAATAGGAAAGACAGTACAATAGAACAAGGTTTATTTCACTTGTGCTGCAGTAAGGACAATTATTTCACTCCATAGTAATAGTTTGACTAAGTGTAAAATAACATGACCCCCCTCACTCATACTACACCCTTATATTAAGTTATATTCTAAAAACAGGTATTCAGAATTCATACTTAACATGCCACCACACTGGTTATGGTATATTATTAATCAATAAAGTGATTCACCTTATTCACAGCTGTAAATTATGGTTCATTAAGCTTGTGCAGAAATAACCAGAACATACCACTGTGGCAGCATGTTTATACATAATTACAAGCAGTGTTCAGATAATAAATCAATTGCAAAATCTCTTTCCTGAATGCAGCCTTAAGGTGGCACCAGCTACACTATTGATCTATTTTATTCCACAGAATTAGAGCACACATAAATCACATATACTTATAGACTTACAAGTAGACGTCTTGTTATGTGATACTTATAATGATAAAGAAAAATCAAGCAATAATGATAAAACAAAAGCTTTATAGTCACACTCTCATTAAAAGGGTCAGAGGTTAAGGCTTATATAATTAGCTATGTGGGAGGGAAGGGGGTTGATGAAATTTTACTAGGAATTTACTTTGTGCCTCTTCAGAATAAAAATACTAAAATGATAAACTGTAATTAGCATAATGATCATTTGAGTGGGGAGTTGGAAATTTTGTTACTAAAACTATAAGGGGTCAGACTTTTTGTGAAGGTGCAAAAAGATAGGGTGAAAGGTAAAAATTAGCTAAAACAGCATGAAAGACTCCCAATTCCAGTTTGGGACATAAAGATAACCGTTACACACAATAACTATATAAAAATGGTGATGAAGAAAGCAAAACAAAATTTACATACCAAAGAATCTGTATCGCTCTCATCTTCTTCTCTAGCCACCATGATGGCTTTCATTAAAGCTCTTCTTCCTTCCATGTCATATACTCCATATACTTCCATTAGCTCATGCTCTGATGTACTTCTATAATAGATAATAAAACAAATATCTCTAAATTAAAAATTGCTTCAAAAGCTAGGCTGCTAGACTAATTGATTATTTTTTAAATTAATATACATTCTATTTATTTAAGAAACCAGTTGCAGCTAAAAGAAATTTTTGTGGAAAGTCATAATGAAGTTTTACACACTAGATCTCTTGAATCCCTACAATCTTGAATCTATCACTTATTGATTTTTTTCTAAAATATACATTTAAAATGTACGATAAAATTAAAAAAAAAAACTTTAAAAACTTAATTCTAACATAAGCTTTATATATATTTAATTACAAGAATCGTTTGACATTTTTTCTGTAACTTAGTAAAGCTAAAAAATGTGTACTTAACTAATACAATTTATAGTTCTTTAAAAAAAATACTAATTAACCCAGCTCTGGTACCTTACAAAAAATAATGTGTTTGGTTCCATGGGGTCAGTTTGACCCCATGGTGAAAAAATGGCTTTTTGACAGCACTCTTTTATAATTAATTGTTTACCTTGACATAATAAGATATGATTATGTGTTAGTACGTCAAAATAAATATTGAACAGTTCCATGAGCAAATTCATGTTATTTTAACCCGCTGTATACAAAATGTAAGTTCTGGCATAGATTGTGCAATAGCTTGGTATGTTCTTTGCACACCAAATGATTGCATTCATTTCAGGCTAGTTTGCTTTTCTTGTCACATGAGCTGGGACAAATGTAACACTCTCTTGCACAATCCTGGATGAGAATGTGTGGTGCTTGCTGTTGGTGTTAGTATATTAAGGGAAAAAGATCTCACATTGAAGGTTCTATGGGGTCTATAAGACCTGAAGCGAAAATAAAGCTAAATAATGAATAACCAGTGTGTAACGTACTTAGGAAGGCCTTACGAAAAAATACATGGCAGGTGAGGTCACTAATCGTGGTAGTTATCAAAATAAATTGGTCCAAAAAATGGCTGGTGTCATATTGACCCCGTGGTACCAGAGCAGGGTTAACTGGCCACAGAGGCTTTTAATATAGCGTGCTTCAATTTCAACTGTGTTTAAATAAGGAATTCCCAGGCTAAAAAAAAACACTGTACTCCAACACAGTGTGCTCGGGTCTGACCAATCTGTAAATATGCTTCATAAATAAAGATAAAATGCGAAATTCAAAAAAGTTGAAGCCTTACCTAAATGTGGACATGGACATATTGGATGGAAAATTCTTCAAGTATTGTCCGAGCTTCAGACGCTTCAGGTAGTCAACAAAAGCAATGTGCTCCAGATTTTCTGAAGATGATCTGCCTAAGCTAAGTGTTCGCTCAAATTTTGGGGAAGACAGGGATCCACGTCTGTGAGGGTAAAGTGCTCGATCTACTGATGTGACTATCCGCAGCTGCTTATTGACTGGAGTGAGATGTGTGTGCTCACGTAAATCAGAAGAGCATGCATCATCACTGAGTTCCAGACTTTCTCTTATCTTGCCATCACTAGAAGCATCATCACTGAACTCATGATACCTGTCTGCACCCAAGCTGGACAAGGTACTCCCTGGAGAAAAATCAGAAGAGGATGCTGATAGTGCGTCTTCTGAATCTTCAAAAGCATTTTCTCTAGAAAGATTTCTCCTGGAGAGGTATGAAATGCTGCAAAACGTTTGCCTCCTTGGACGGGATGTTGGTGTTGATGACAGTGAGTTTTCCCCTGAAGATAACCGTACTCTGCCAGTAGAGCAACGAATTTCTGGAGAGTTACCACATTCCGGGGATGACATTGACTCTGAAAGATTAAGCTTGAGACTTGGAAATGATACACTTTCTTTAGGCATTTCTGAAACTTTTCGAAGGTTTACTTGTTCTTGGTTGGGAGGAGTTATGTCTAATTTAACCACTTTGCTATCTTCCTCTGGGTTGGACTCAACTGAAATTGTGAACTTTACAGTGGCTTTCTTCACTGCATTGTCATCTAAAAGAGTTGGCTGTGAGCTTTCAACATCTTGTTTTGTAGCTTCATTTCCAACCTTAAGAACATTTTCATTTGGCTTCTCAGTCATAACCAAACAACTTTGTTTTGCACTGTCTGTCTTATCAAAGCCAGTATTTCCAACTGTATTATCACTTGGTGGATTTTGTTCAGTTTGTTCTTTTAACTTTTCAGCTGACAGTTTAGTTCCTAATTTACTCTTGTTTTCATTTCCATCTCCTTCAACCAATGTTGTTTTAGCTTCTACTTTATTCTCTGTACCAAGACATGCTACCTTCATTTGTAAATCACTCTGTTCAACCACATTTTCAGACACCACATCCTGTGTTTCATTTTGTTCAGCTCCTTTATCCTCATCTTTCCCCACTAGATTTGCCTTTTTTGGAGTTTTTCTAGTGGTGACAAACTGTAACCTTGAGCAAAAAGATTTCTTTGAGCTTGCCATGTTCCATCTACAAGAGCTGTACAGAGCTGAGCATCATCATGGGTAAGATATCCATAAGGAGGACATAATAAAACTTTACCAGAGTCTCTAACCATACTGTTTAACTATTCAAGTCTTCTGTTTATAATAGTCTTTTTCAAAGTTCTTAAACACATTCTTATTATTGACTGAATCCTATTCACTGCAATATGGTTCAAGCCAAACCTATAATAAAATATAAAAATAATGCCAATTAAAAATAAAGCTTAATTATTTTTGGAAAGCAAAACAATGTAATAAGATCAAAATTTAATTAATCCCCCTGAGTTGTTAATTCTAATGTTTTAGTGCAATAAGTAATACCAGTTGGGTGGACAAAGTGGGGATAACAAGGCAGTATAACAGTAGATTGTTAACTAAAAAGTGCATGGTGGAAACACACAGATCTAGCAATGGACAAAATGGGGGAGAGAAAAGCTGATTATTTAACTTGTTTCAGCCTGTCAGGTCTAAGAGTACTGCTCAAGCAGGCTCTGACATATAAGAGTTAGAGAATATTTCTACAGGAGCTCCAAATTTAATTGTTCATGCTTCAAGTAGCTAGATATATGTTAATATTAACTCATTATAAATAAAGCGGGAGTGATCTCCCCTAAATTTTCTCATATATTCTTATTTAATAGTAATGGGGATGGCACTTTTAGTGCAATCATGAAATTGAAATGTATATTGAAATCAAATAGAATTGGGTAGGAAAAAGAATTGCACACCAAAATGAACGTAAACAATGCATGCATAATTCATAATTGAGAGAAATAATAGTACTTTATTTACGAAACATTGTTTCATTTTTTTTTAAATTAATAAGAACATCTAATTCTAATTTAGCCACATTTTATTGCACAGGTCATTAAGTCTTTAGCTACATGAAAAGTTTGAAATAAATCAGTCCAGGATAAGTGATATTATTTTAGATATCGGAAACATAATAAGATCTTATACCTATGATATGTATAGAATTTTGTTAACCCACGTGAAAAGGTACATCCATTATCATTATTTTAGAAACCGGAAGAACCACTTCTGGTTACTGGAGGTCACTAAAAAATTAAAAATAATCTAAGTATAAGATATTACAAATATATATATATATGAAATTTCTTTTACCTAACTGAAACAGTTCTCAAGGAAATAATGTAAAGTATCACATCTGGTTACAAGAAGTCATTCAAAAGCTGAGAGAATACTGTACATACAATTTAATACATATATTTTGAATTTCGTTTACCTAACTTAAGCGATGCTCTAGTAATTGGCTTTTGAGAAACCGGAAGTAAACTGGAAATAGCTCAAAAGTTTATACAGATCTATAAATTTAATATAATACTTCCATATGAAATTTCGTCAACATAACTGAAAATGCACTCAAGTTATCATGTTTACAGGCACACACACAGACAAAATTGCAAAACAAAGTTTTTCCGTTCCATAAGGTTGTAAAACATCTGTTTGTCACAACATCTGTTAACATTATGTGCATGATTACGATGCATCTTTTTTATTCCGTATATGATATAGTAGGGAGGTGTAAAATATCAAAAACTGTCAAAATATCTGCTAATTATTCAGCAAGATTACATTACAATACTTCCTCTATACTCAGTATACGAGAAATAGAAACATAATTAAGTTCTTCACTTTCTAGTCCAAAAATATTATAATTATGTTTTTATTAACCATACATTGTAGTTTTTATTGCATGAATTATTTAAATAAAATAAGTATTGCTAAAACTTTATTTATTTATAATTATATGTTAAAGATAACCTACTTACTGTGAGAGAATTTTAAGACTTAAGCATGATACTAATAACCTAAGGGCTAAAGAATAAAGATGCAATTCTTTAAAAAGATATGCATAATTAATACTATGTCATATGCCTAATCATCAGCCTATTAAATATTGTCTAACAAGAATAGTTATTAGTCTTTTTTCTTAATTTTAAAATTAACACAACTTTTAAATTTTAGGCCTTAGTCTAATCAAATACCTGCTATATTTGTTTCGTCATTGAGATAAAATTCTTTCACACACAGACAGATAGTACAAACATTTTTTTTTATATTATTGTGTAGAATATTGTGAAGAAACACGTAAAATATTTTACACAACCCCATCAACCAAATGGCTCACACTGTGAAACATGACTAAATTGTTAAAATTTTAAAGTTTTATTTGATCATATATTCTTAGAAGGATACTGTATGAACTTTGCAAAATACTACCAATGTTTTGGTATAGATTTAAAGTGCATTTATAATAATATTAAATGTTCAATTGATATCCAGTAAATTTTAAATAAACATCAACAATGAATGTGGAGTATTCCTGTGAAACGATGCAGAAACTGAAACCATCACTAACTGTTTTATACCATTCAGAACAAATAACCTAATAATATGTTAAGTGCAGCCCTGTATAACCAATTGTTTGACTCACCGTCTGCACCTTCCATTTTGGCCACTACACGCAATTAGTTGTGTACATGATTATAAGTCACAACAAAATTTGCCTACGACTAATTTTGACAGGAACAACGTGGGCAGATTTACTTGGGCATATATTGGGCATTAACTCAGCTCGCGAAGCTACTGAGAATTAGAATACTGTTAACTCTGGAAATGTCCATTTTTTAAATTGCTTACTGGCCTTGAATTGATAGTAGATAACTTTTAAACACTTAATGTTACAGCTGTTAGATTTTTCTATATCTCTTGGATAGCATTGAGAGAAATTTAACAAAGTACCCTATAATACCATTTGTCTACAGTCATTCTTAGATCTTGTTTGACATTCTGTCACAAAGTGTTATGGATGATAATAACTTGACGAGGAGCGTTAATCTGTTCCAATTTTATTTTACTTTAAGACGGGCACAGCAAGATAACATTCTCAGATTACTTCTTCCAACAGATGAAACAATGTTTCATGCGCACCATTAAGACAAGACTTCACTAAATTATGGATGTTCTTGGGACAAGATGACAACTACACCCTCAAGTAACAAGATAAAGACTGTAATTAGTTGGTGTCATTTTTCAAACTGTTACCAGAAAACATCCCTTTTTTCCTCCCTACATCCTATTCAATTTTTATTTCTCTACACAAAATCCATCCACCACACAAATACTCTTATACCCTTACTATAAGCTACATTCATTTCACAACACTAAGGCCAAAATAAAATTGTCAGTAGAAAAATCATTGTTTTTTACTAGGCCTATATTTTCACTTGATCAAACTGTAATCTCTAGACATGGAGATGAATTTACTAAATCTTGACTCTAGTCTAGACTAAAATATAATTCTAAACTCACTGTCATTTTAACATTATAAGTTGATTAGATCATTAGAGTTTTTCTTGAGGATTCTCATGTCGGAGATTAATATATATAGGCTAGAGGTGGGTCATTTGTACTGGCATGCTATTCATAGCATCGACCGTTAGGAAATTGCGGAAACACGCTGAAATCGATTTAGATTGTGTTATCTGTATACTGGCAAAAAATGATAGAATCTATCATACAAGACAAACTGTAAATCAGTTTTTGTGTTTTGTCAATTATTGATGTAATGTCTTTATAGCTGTGTCATGCTGCAGAGGATGCATGTATCTACTTTATTTTTTCTAGGGTGCCGACAAGTACAACTGGCTTCATTATTAAACACACTTTGTTTATTATTTTTTTGCCCGTTAAAACACAGAAGCAAGTTTTTATGTGTCATCAAAGTCGGTGAATCTCTGTGAACCGTACCACCTTAAGCCTAAGACAGAGGCGTAGTGACCCTTCCCGACGCCCGGGGACAAACTTTCAATTTGGCGCCCCCCTTAGGAGCAAATTTTTTATTTGCACCTTCACCCCTCAACTTTTTGATTTGCACACCCCCCCCCCCCCCCCCCTTCATGAAACTGAAAAAATGCAGCTAAAATGACATTCTAATTTGTTTTTACAACCCATTTTGGCGTCCCCTAAGTCGGCGCCCGGGGACCTATGTCCTATGACCTATATAGATCTAGATTTAGAATCTATATTTCTAGATCTAGATCTAGATGAGGAAGAAAAGAAAATTGAAAGCCATGAGTAAAATACAAAAAATAGCAAAATTTTTTTTTTTATTGAGTTGAAATATTTAGATCTCTAGGCCTAATATTATTATTTTAGGTAATCTATCGTTTTGGGTACGTAAAATCGCCCGCGGCTATTAATGTACGAAAACGTTACCTCATTGTCAAGGCTGTAATAGAAGTATATTGTGAAATTTTTGTGTCAAATATTATAGATAAATGAATAATAAACCTAAATCAATAGCTAAATATATCAATATAGGCCAGAAATTAACTTTAAACTGCAGTGTCTGCAAGCAAGATTTCCTATATAAACAGCAGCCATTTGTAAAATAGAGTGACTTCCGCCTGAATCTTGCGCTTTAAGTCTATAAAAATAAAACTTTAACAAGATGGCTGCTATAGTAAATGAGCATGGTTGCATCTGTTGGAAACATCGCTAGTCTTCATTTATTACTGAAAAGTTTTGATTCAATTGTTTAAAAACAGGTACATAAATGAAACAAGGAAACATTTTTGTATTTTTAAAACATAAATCCTCCTCAAAATGTGAAATAATTATTAAAATGTAAGGAGTCACCTGTTTTTCACATTAATTACTAGTCGCGGGCGATTTTACGTACCCAAAACGATAGATTACCTTATTTTAATTACTTAACAGTTAACATTCAGCCCTTACAAACGGCAGGTTTTACTTAATACTTAATAATAGTCTAGAGTCTTAGATCTAGATAGATTCTAGATCTAGATCTCTAGAGATCTAGATCTAGATTCTAGTCTAGACTCCACTAAAAATCATTGAATCAAAACTTTAAAAATAAAACTTGCTTGAATAACCGCACTGCGCCGTGCCGTCTGCTGTTACGTCGTAGATTAGCAATCCTTATGGAGCATGTAATTTTATTAATTGTCCATTGTTTAAAAGTTTTGAATCCAAATACACACACTAGCGATTCCCAAGGATGTCTTTACGAATGTTGTGCGATATCCCAGAAAATAGCTTGCCAACTGTGAGTTGCTTTGACGATCTGCCGCCATGTCGGTACAACAACACACTGCTGCTGACATTGTTAGCCTAACTTACCTCACTTC